AAAAAAAATAGATTAAAATAAATATGTTTCTGTGTTGATCGTTTTGATTGTGGTTTACATATTTCAGCCCGACATACGCAATTCATGCAGCACAGAAAAGAGTTGTTACCAAACTGTCTCTATGTCAGCTCAAATATATCTGATATAAAAGATGCTGTGGAGTTTATTTCTATTTATTCTGACTGGTGGTTCATGGTCCATGCGCCCAGTTCTACTTTTGTAACACTTCTGTAGTCGTTACAGTAAACTAGGACCAGTTAGGTTCGACTACTAGAGTAGTAATGAGTGTAGCGTGTAATATAGACCACAGACCTGAAAATAAGTTTAAATTGCCAGCTTGTTATTTTGTAAAGACAGAGAATAGACAGTTGAAACACTACATAACACAGTGGTTTGGGAACCACTGTGAACAACCTGATTGGGTGTGGCTGGTCACAGGAGTCACGCTGCAGTGTGCCCTTTCACAATAAGACTCTGAACCCATATTTTAGCCATTTTACCTGAATTAACATAAAAACACCATGAATTAGCAAGTTTTTTAACCTTTTAATATGTTTTTAAACAAAATCCTATACCATGAATTATATCATTGCTGATGTTTTTTAATGATTTTTTTTAACCTTTATGATCTATTTATTGACTATTTATCACCTGTAATATATTTCTTATGACTGTTTTTACTAACAGGCTATGTTAACCAGGGTTACACTTTATTCCTTTTTTTTTTTTTTTTTTAACTTATCAGCTCTATTTCAGCTGGTTTCATGAAAACATTTGGACTACTGAGACTATTTATGAATCTTGTGGCTCATTTATGGCCCCATTTGATGAATTGAGTTCATGATTTATCAGATTGCTGACAATCAGATTGCCTTAATTAGCAAAATTATTGAAAGCAATGTCTTCAGTTGTAGGTCAGTGCTGCTTCTTTATGTGTGCTGAACATTACACAGACCTGAGTGTTTGACAGGACAGACATGATCAGACTTTGTAACTACACACAGAATCAAGGAGAAGCCTGGATTGGACTGTACAACAACAACAACAACAAATACTGTAATGTAGCATCACCTCTCTTGGTGTGTGCTTTTATATAGTAGTTCAACAAAAGCAGATTGCACCTGGTGTGTGTTTACAGAAAACAGAAGTTCAACTAATATTCACAGTTTTTCAGACAAATTTGGTAAAAAAAAAAAAAAAAGGAAGTGTGATAACCTGACAGTATCAAAGTCTATATGCACAATGAGAGTCTCCTTTTCATTGAGCATGATATTTGTTTCCCACTCACGGCACAGAATGTGTTTACAACTAAAAGCAGAAGTAGAGTTAGAAACTCATCTAATTTGCATCAATACACAAATGTATTAAAATTACTCAAGTTTTTAAAACTTACACTTTTTATATAATAAACTTTGGTGTAATCAGAAATACTTGGAAATAAACATAAGCAGCCTCTCACACAAACAGCTGGAAT